GTGACCAGCACACCCCCACTTTCCTCTGACCCAGGCACAAGCCATTCCCACCCTCCTTCAGGCTTTGGGCTGGTAATCTCCTGGTGCCATCTCCCTGCTGCACCAGTCCAAGCGTAGCCACATTCCAGCTGTGCAGGAGGGGATGAAGGCAGTGACTGCTGTGGGAATAGTGAATTCCATTGAGGAAGATGTGATTTCTCTTTTGCTGCTCAGGCACATAGCTGTAAGAGCAAGTGTTGAGCATAGCCAACAGGCTTTTCTAGTCCAGCAGCTGTCCTGGTGGCCTGTCTGGCTCCATCATGTTGTACATCTCCCTCTGTCTTCCTTCTGCTTTCCCTGTGAGCGCTCATTTCCTCAGCAGGATTTCCATTTGGTTCTTCCCACACTTGCCAGCATAGTGACCTTTCTGTCTGCGCTGGGGAAGGAACAGAGAGAGGCAGGCATCAATTTTGTGATAGATCAACCCTGTGTTGTTTTACCACGTGTTCTTGTCCCATCGTTTCCAAGTGAGTGGACTAATGGAGCTATACCTCATCTGACACAGCTTGTGCCTATAAGAAACAGCCTAAGGCTTATTACTACAACAACCCCCTGCCTCCAAGACTGCTTTCCACAGCTATTCTACTGTGTGCCAAGTGTTTACAATCAAGGAAGTCTCCACATTATCACTTGCAGTCCTTAGCTCATCTTCTAGGGACTGCTGTCAGTCAGCCCCAGGCATGGCTAGATTCACAAAACCACTTTCAGAAAGCCCCCCACAGCTCGTGCTGTCCCTCTCTCCCGCTCCTCCAAGCTGAGATCATTGTTCCCAAACCTCCCAACCCCAGCATCACTCACCTCAAAGCAGATGCCTGGTTCTGGTGGGCACTGTAGGATGATGGAACCATTGCTGGGGTTCCTGGGCTGCACTGCCAGGGACTGGGTGGTGCTGGTGACTAGCAGCTGGGGCTCTGCAGGTGACACATCTTTGCATCCCCTCTCCCCCCTGGCAGCAGGTCCTAACCATGCCTATCTTCTGAGGACATTCTGCTCCCTGGTGGGGACATGGGGCAGTCAGCTTCAGCAGCCCCCAGCTCCTACCAGAGCACTGGGGCAGGGGCACAGAGCAAGAACAGTTTGAGGTGGATCAGTGTGGGGACCTCCTGCATCACCTTTGCTGTGATCTGTGCTGTGCATCATCAACCCAGCCTTGAGGCTTCAAAGGGACACAAGGACAAGCAGTTACCCCCCAGGACACAGCAAGCAGTACCCCTTCATGGCACTCACAGCCATCTAACGCTGTCCCAGGATTCTCATCCCCCAGCCAGCCCTATCTGGCTGCATGCCAAACTCCCCCCCATTCCACCTCATACTTACTGAATAAATTTGCATTTAGGTCCATCAGGGCAGAAACCCACAAGGTAGCTGGCACACATCACCCTCTGCGTGCACTTGTACCTGCACGGGGGGCCTGCCACACACAGAAGAGCTCCCCGTTAGCAGGGACACAGCACTGAGCCTGGATCTCTGCCAGGCACCAAGTAGCACTTCCACACAGTCCCCAGAGCTCACCCTTCTCTGGCTCCATCACCTTGCAGGATTTGGGGCCAGCAGAAGGGAGCAGACCTCCCATAACCAGCAGGTGGTGAGCACTGTCCCAGTATCTGGGCACTCACCATGCCTGCAGAAGCCTCGGTCATACCAGGGACAGCCTGTGGTGCCAGCTGTAGCATCAACATACAGGAAGGGACAGTCCTCACTGCTGCATTCACCTGTGGGACCAGGGGGAGGGGAGGGGGTGAAGGCTGGGACAACGCTCACCCAAGTCAAACAGCAGAAATATGGGAGAAACAGGTGCCCAGGGGCATGCAGCCTCGGGCAGACACTGGTGGCATTTCTTCCCTCAGACAGGAGGTGGCATCAGGAGATTGCTTGAGGCCAGACCCGGAGGACACAGGGGGTTTGGGTGGGACAGGCTGCAGGGTCCTCATTCTGCTCTCACCGAGCTCGAAGTGGGAGCAGCACTTGGGGATCACAGTCATGTTGGGCTTGTGTAGGAAGTCACAGCCACTGCTCCATAAAAGCAGTGCTTGCAGACCACCACCCACCTCAACTCGTTTTGTAGGATCACCCCCAGAACGCACCCAGCTCATACAGGCAGTGCCTGAGTACCATATGTTCACTCCGAGGCATTCAGACCCTCCCCTTTGTGCTATTGCACAGCTCTGGTCCAAAGGAATGTGGCACTGGGGAGAAACAATAGGCTCTGAGTAGTCAACTTCTGTGCTCCAAACCTGCATCTTGCGGGACACACAGATGTGGAGAAGCCCATTATGGTCGTGGTGTGGTGACAGAGCAGAGAGAGGCCCTCTCCATCTCCCTGATGTCCCCAAGGGACTGCAAAACAGCACTGGTTCCACCCATCCTGAACCCTTCACAGCACTCACCTCTGGTGCAGAGCCCTTGGGTGAAGATCTTACACACAGCTCTGCAGGGAGATCAGGGGAGAAGGAGCTTAACTCACAGCACTGGTGCCAAGACCACCATTCCCCAAAGGGATGAGCCCCCAACTCTTCCCACAGAGCTGCACTGGGTACATCATCAAGGGAAGCAACGCCTGAGGCCAACCTGGCAGAAATACCACAGTAGCTGCAGCAAAGCAGGGAGAACCCCAGCACCTTCTGCAACTCTGCTGCTCTCCAGGGATGCCACAGGACCCTCAACTTACTGTCTTTACCTGGGAAGGGCAGGAGCTGGGCTCCTTGCTGCTGCTCTGTGTCAGCCTCTGCATCAAACCAGATCCTCTACACACCAGCCACCAGCTCCTCCATGACTCTGTAGTCACTAATCCCCCAAAGGGCTCAGAAACCCTCTTCTTCCTACCCCCAAAGCAAACTCAGCTGAAGCAGAAGCCCAGTGCCCTCCATTTAGGGGGAGAAGCTACCCACATCTACTCTCAATTTGCAGCTGTGATTGCCTGGTGCCTCAGCCCAGCTGTGGGTAACTCAGCCCAGGTCCCCCAACCTTGGTGATGCCTCCTTGCATCAACATATGTTTCCTCTCTGCCAGTGCTGGGAGAGCAGCTGGCAATGGCCCTGACCCACAGTGGGGTCTGCAGGAGCCGACTCTCACCCCAGGCTGCACGCTCAGCAGGGAGAGCCTGACTTCAGAGCTGAACATGGTCTGCATGCTGTAATTAAATAGCCAGATAGCAAGGGATGGAACCTTTGTTGCGCCTTGTAATGCTTTGAACATTGAACATGCAGAGCTGCACCATCCCCAGTCCCACTTTGCAGTGCCACATCTCCAGGCTCACAGTGGGGACAGCCAGCTCGTTCCTTGCACCCTATGAGAAGCCCCTTTGGCCTCACTGCCAGGCTGGGGGCTTGTACATGTGTGAGGCTGCAGTAACATGAGTGAGACACAACCCTGGTGTCACAGTGCCTCCCAAGGCCACCCAAGCAGACCCCTGTCCCTCTTCCATCATGTAGTTCCTGCAGCCACGCGCATCCCCATCACGTGCCCGGAGTGACATGGCCTGACACATCAGGGATGGAGACCTGTTCCCATTCTGTCACTAGCTATAAATGCACTGGAGCAGTGCTGCGTGCCTGCTGAGTGCTGCCAGCGGGGCTGCAGCCTTGCACTGGGCACCCACCAGCACCCAGTACTTGTCCCGATGGCATCCCATGCAGTGTCACATCCCGCACTGGCCTGACGCTCACTGGCATCACAACGTTGCTCCCCACTAGCCCTAACCCCGCAGTGCTGGCCCTGCACTGGGCTGTTGTCCCATCCCGGTGAGCAGAGCTGTGTCCCATTTGCACTCAGTGAGCTGCTGTGCTTTCTGCCCCGTCGGCTCACAGCAGTGCGGTGCTGCCGAGCAGAGGCTGGAGCCGACAGGCGTCACAGCAATGGAAATGGCTTTGTGACAGAGCCAGGACTGCTCAGCACCTGCCCTGGGGCTCCCCATCCCCAAGAACCCTCCAGAAAGGGGTGCAAGCCCCAGAGACCTTCCCAGCATGCTGCTTCATGTCAAGGCAACAATAAGGGACAGGAGGAGCCTAACGACCTCTCAGGACACAGAGACCAGCACCATCGGTTTAGGGAGGGATGCTCAGAGCCCAGTGCACCAGTCCCAACCCAATGGAGCAGAGTGGGAGCAGGGTAGAGGCATCCCGGTGAGCTCAGAGCAGCCGCTGGCCCGGCTGCCAGCTGCAGCTGCTGTTGTTCTCACATCCTGAACAATAGCCCAATGTCCCACGCCGCGGGGCATTGTGTCGGCACAGGACCCCATTGTGTCCCCACCGCAGCTCAGCGCCTGCTCCCACCAGCATCACCCTTCCAACCTCTTGTGCAGGGTGGTGGGCACCCAGCCCAGACCCTCCAAGGGCTGGAAAATAATAAAACGGCCAAATCCTTCCGTCCTGGTCCAGCCCTGCAAAGCCATCTGCTTGAGGATGAGGGAGCGTTCCTGGACCGCTCTCCCCATCTTATCCCATCCCATCCCCAGGCAGGGAGCAGCAGAAATCCTGCTGTAAGGTAGGAATACCTGCTGTGCTGGACACGGCCCCACCATCCACTCACCTCAGGGCTCACAGCAGGGCACCCCCAGCCCATGGGAGTGGGGACAGCCAGTCCTGCCTTTCCACCTTCCCCTTCTCCCTGACTGAAGGAAGCGTGCTGCAGGAGGAGAGGCCACTTGGCATGGTCACCCCTTGGCATGAGCAGGGCTGGCCGGAAGGGCACAGCCAAGAGCCAGATCCGGCCAGCAGGAGCTCACCCGCTTCCCCCACGGCAGGCAGCCCCGCTCTGATGGGCAGATAGAGCACAGCCACAGGTGCCAACACGCAGCCAGGTTGGCACAGCACCACATGGAGCTAGGGAGAAGCCACAGGGCCTGGGAGGAGGCAACAGCATGGGGTCTGGAAGCAGCACAGAGAAACCCCATCCCCACACTGGACCCGGTGTAGAAGAAGGCAGCCACCCACATCTCACCCCATAGGAACTCAAGCCACTGCTGTCACTAACATTTCCTTTATTCTTCACATTTTTACATACACGGTATAAAACCTTTTTCTTCCACCTGTCTGCACCAGCACAGCCCCACAGCAGCAGCCACCAGCATGCTGGACTGGGGGGTCCCAGGCATTCAATCCCAGGGCACAGACCCACCGTCCTATTGGTGTCCCCAGCACAATTGGTGCCAGGGCCATATGGAGTGTGTCTCTGCTGGGATGGAGCATCCATCTGAAGCGTGAGGAGCAAGTCCCCACTGCAGCACAAAGGCAGCGGCTCTCAGACTGCAGAAAGTCCCTAAGAAACCCAGAGCTGCCAGCTGTCCCAGGGCTCTGAGTTTGAGTCCTTCCTCATGGGAAATGTCCCCTCCGTTAAAAAAAACAAAAGCAAGAGTAAAGAAAGTTAAGTACAAATCGGAGAGCAGTAAAAACCTTATGGTGGAAAAAAATATATATATTACTAGAGGGACTAAAACTTCAAAGCCTCATCTTGTTTGATCCTATAATGCTTTACGTGGGCAGGGGAAAAAAAAGAAATGAAAAAAAAAAAAAGAGCACTAGCATCCAAAGTCCAACAGAAAGAACCAAGATTGAGTCTGTTCCTTGTCCAGGGACGCGCTGGAGCTTTCCCAGGACAGCACTATCCTATCACCATGGGATGGCACCGGCACTCCGGGAGGGAGAGGAGCAAAGTGTTCCTGGTGCTGCCAGCCCCAGCACTGGGTCACCCACCCCTGTGTCCAAGCAATCACAAATGAGAACCAGTCCCCTCAGCTCACTGCCCTCCCTATACCCTGATCTCATCATCATCTTCATCGGCGAAGGAGAACTCCTTGTCTGGGCGCTTCGGAGGGCCCCGCTGGCTCTGTGCCCCCACTGGGAGGGGGCTGCGCTCCCCCGGCCCCGAGGCACAGCTGGATGCTGCACTGCTGTCCCTGGGACCGCCAGCGCTGCAGGATGGACTCTGGCTCTGCGCAGCCACTGGAGAACCGGGTACAGCAACATCCCCCTCCTCACGGCTCTCCTCCGCCTCGAGGTCTTCATCCTGCTCCCACTGCTCCTTATCCATGATGCTCAGCACATCACCGAGCATGGAGGGCCCCAAGTCGATGTGGAAGGACATGATGGACTCAGCGTGTTTCATGCCAGCCCCGCTCTTGGCCACCACAACGGGCAGCTCCGTGATGTCCCCGAAGTCGCGCTCATCCAGACCGGGGCTCAGCGGCCCGGCGGCTGCCCCGTTGAGACGCTGCTGCTCTTCGGGGCTCATCTCCTCTGGCATCTTCTTGACGGGACTGGAGGAGAGGCTCTTGGGCAGCTGCCCCGTGCTCCTGTCCACCTCCTTCTCATTGAGCTGCGGCAAGGAGACGGCATTCTTCACGAAGAGCGCCGAGTCGCGCAGCGAGCCCAGCATGTCCCGCCGGTCACCGCGCGTCACCGACTGCGAGCGCTTGCTGCTGCGGAAGCGGCGGGACAGCAGCCCCGGCTTGGAAGCCCCCGGTTCCTCACCTACCTCCGGCTCGCCGGCCTTGCTGGTGAGGAACGAGGTGTCCCCGAATGCATCCCCGGCCCGGCCCACGTGCATGGTGTGCCGGAAGTCCCCCAGCGGTGCGCTGATCATCTCTGCCGTCAGGTCGGCCCGCGAGCGCCGCTTGGAGTGTGCCGAGTTGGAGACGAGCTGCTTGAGGATGGGCATGGTGCTGGTGGTGGGCAGCACGGCCAGCGGGCACGGCTGCTGCTCACGGCTGCTGCTCCACGCACGGGGTCGCACCCGGCATCACCAGTGGGTCACTGCTAGGGGACAGGAGAGGGACACAGTCAGGCGAAGATGCTATGGAATTATAGAATCATTAAGATTGAAAAGACATCTCAGCCCCCAAGCCACCCTCACTGTGCCCCACTGACCCTGTCCCCAAGTGCCACATCTCCATGGTTCTGGAATACCTCCAGGGATGGTGCCCCACCCCCTGGGCTGCTGTGCCAGTGCCCAACCACTCATCCTGAGAAGAAATTGTTCCTGATATCCAACCTGAACCTCCCCTAAAACAACAGACACAGCCCTGCTGACACCAGCCCTCATACTACCAGGCTGCAAAACACAACACCATGGCCACAGATGAGTATGATCCTGCATCAGCCCCCACACAAAGCACTGCAAGGGGGATGGGGCCTCAGACCCCACCGAGCCATCCAACCCTGCTCTGTCCTCTCAGAAGAGTGGTGTCAGTCCCCATCCACGAAGCAGACAAAGAGTTGGGCATGGAGAAGCAGCATGAAAGTCCCTGATGGAAATGAGCATGGCACCATGGTCCCCTTGTTCTGTCCCATGGTGATCCTAAGCCGCAGGCTTCCAGATATCCCTTCGCCTCCCTGAACACTCGCACTTTGTTGTTGCTTTGGAGACAGATTCAAGATGGCAAACCTGGGGAACCATCACAGCATCACCACACCCCACCCCACCCCACAGACCCTTCTCACCCTACAGCCCCAGAAGGGCAAATCCCCACAGCAGCCAGATCTGCAGCAGAGCTCCTCGGGTGACACTACCACGCTTTGGGGACACACACACAAAGAGGGACATTGAGGGCACCCACTGCCCCTCCCTGCACAGCCCCAGCCCACCGGAGTGGGGCACAGCAGCACTGAACTTCCAGGAGCTGCACACTGAGAGGATGCCTGGGATTTTATTTTTTTTTTAATTGAAAGAAAGCGGGGAGGAGCAGCCGCCAGGAGGAATTGGAAACAGACGGCAGGAAGTGTGCAAGGAGCCCCCGGGAGGCACCACCAGGCTGAGGGGAGCAGAGCAGGGACAGCTCCTGCAGCCTCGTGCACCTGGTAGCATGTGTGGCAGGATGGGGACATGGGGGACCCCAAAGCCATCCATGCTGTGCCCTGGTGCTGATCCCACATGTGCCTGTGCCACTCTCACTGCACCCCCATCCCACCCCCCCGGCACAGCCACCTCACCATCACTGCTGTGACTCAGGGGTTACAGCTCACAGCAGAGATGACCAAGGGCCTCTCCCTTCCTCTTTCTCACAGCCCAGCAGCATTACGGCCTCCTCCATCCTCAATGCCATCACCGGCCCCATCCAGCCCAGCCCCGGTGGCCACGCAGGAGGGAACAAGGACAGCGACCACATCATTGCATCCCATGACGTCAGGCAGCCCCAGGTGGTCCCGGGCGAGGAAAAGCCAGAGAGGAAGGACTCACAGCCGCCCTCTTCCTCCACTCGGGCACCGCGGCGCTGCCGACACAGCCATACTCACAGGGAAAGGGACAATAACTCTTCCCTGTGTCCCTCAGCCATGCCCAGCTCTGTGGGACCGGCGGGGAGAGATACGGCAGCAAGGTCCCAATAAAACCCAGCCACGTACTCACACACATGCCCCAAACCTGCTCCAAGACACCTGGCTGTCCCTCACCATTCGGCCAAGCTCGTTCCATGTGGGCAGGGCGCACTCTGATCCCACACAGGTGCAAAGTCCCATTTCCCTGCCCCACTCTCACAGCTCCTCCTCAGAGCCAGCGCGCTGCATGGCAGCCCCAGAGCTGAAGGAACATGCTGACCCTGGGGGCTCCAGAGGGGACACAGCAGCAGGGATGAAGCAGCTGCTCTGTTTCCCACCAGCTCTTCCCATGCACTGCAGCCACCCCAAACCCAGAGCTGGGTGGGCTCCTCCCCACACCCCCATGCAGCTTCTCGCAGCCCCCCACTCCCAGCAACAGCTCCTGCATGCGCATGGTGCAGACATTTCCCTCTGCACGCTCTCCTTTCAGGCCAGCATTCCTGCAGCCTTTGGTTTTACATAAAACAAACACTCCCAGCAAGCTCCCCAGCTGGGCCAGGCAACCGTGCTGGCTGATTTAGGCCATCTGGGGACTGTCCCTCCCTTGTATTTAGATTTCAGGGCCAAGTTGAGCATTTGCAAGATACTTTGCAAGCTGCAGTGAAGGGGCCACTGGGAGTTGGAACGTTACTGGTGCAGCCTCCCCATCCAGCCGCCCTCCATCACCATCAGCCTCCAAACAAGCCATGCTCCCCCCCCCCCCTGCCCCCCCACCCCACCCCTGAGGCTGCGGCCCAAAAAAACATTTCATAGTGACCCAAATCTCCCTCAGAGCTTTGCCCCCAGCCTCCTGTAAAGGCAAATCTGGGGCGGCTACCTATACCAGCCCCATCCCACTGAGGGAACGGGGCACAGAGCCCTCTTCTCCTGCTCTCGCTCAGGGCGAGGAGCAGATCCTGTGACATTCACGCTGTGCATGCTCTTACAAAGGAAACCAGGCCAGAGCAGTTCCACAGCTGCCTCTCCTGCTGCCTCTGGGATCACGGCTGTGAAACCCGAGCGGTGCAGCAGGGTGGCAGTGCTGCCCATTTCTGGGCATAGCGGGTGGCAGCGAGTCCAGGCAGGGCTTTGGGGATGCGGATAGGATAGGACTCGCAAGCAGGGTTTAAGGCAACAGGGAGAAAGCAAAGCAGCGGTTTACAATCTGCCTCATCCCCACTTCTCAACACTTAATAATCTTGAGCTCAAAACAGCGAGAGCCTTGCATCCCTGATTTCCCCTGAAAATGAGCGCTCAGCCTGGATCCTGCAGACAGCACAGAGGAGAGCCAAATCCCAGCCAGCCCCATGCAGGGTTGGCAGCAGGGACCACTCAACCTGACGCCACTTTCATCCCCATCTCACCCTGCTCAGCACCAGTCACCCACTGGGGACCACAAGGCAAAAGAACAGGGACGGCACAGGGGTGCGTGCGAGGGAAACACCGCTCCAGCCACGCTCCCACACACCCCGCCTCCGGCTCACCCCGCTCCCGGGCTGGGAGAGCCATCCCAGCCAGCCCAGCCGGATCCCAACGAGCCGGGCTGCGCACATGCCACAGGCAGCAGCCTGCAGCCCCGAGATCAGAGGATGCTCCCCACCCTGCCGGGCGCTGGGGCAGGGGCAGCACAGGACCGGTCCGTCCCCAGTACAGCTCCGGGGCAGGGAGGACGCGCTCAGCCCCGCTCACGGGGCGCTGCCCCCCGTCCCCCTCACCCCCCCGCCCCGGGCAGCCGTCTCGCACAGCCCTTTGATGTCGCTGCCTGGCAGACGGCTGCCGGAGACGCTCCTCTCTCAGATGACGCCCTGCCACCTCCGGTCCCAGCGCTATCACAGCCCGGTGAGCCCCGCCAGGCCTGGGGAAGCCGGTCCCGTTTGCGTGGGATGAGGAGGCGCCCGGTGAGCGTTGCTCTCCGCTGTGGGTGACAGGTCTGGTCCTGTCTGCTGGCAACGCCGCGGCTCAGTCGGGATGAACAGAGGAGGCTTCAGCGGTCGGAGCCCGGGTCAGCGGGACGGCTCAGCTCGGCGCTGGTTGCAGCTATCTGCGCATAAATCAGAGTTGACCCGGGGAAGCGCCAGCCTGGCGGTGCCAAAAAACGGAGCGGCGTTCTCCCCAGGGAGCGCTGACGCCCAAGAGCTGCATCCAGAGTTCAGCGAGGAGCTATGGGCAGGACACGCCATTACACGCAAGGGAGCAAAACCCTCCTGCTGAGGGGCCAAGAAGCAGCCCGCAGCCACGGAGGGGACGTTTCCGAGGGGAAAGGTTATCTCCTCGCTCCGTCACCCGCAACAACGGGGGCTGGCCAGGCTCTGACAGGATACCGGGGCTAAACGGCCCTCCTGACCTCTTCCAGGCTCCAAATTCCTGCGGTTTCGCTAGGGTGGACGGGAAATAAACAGCCCGGCTTCCCACGGCTCACCCCGACACCCCACATGCCCAAACCCCACCGGCCGGCTCGGGGCCCCGCGCTGCCTGCGCTCAGACAAAACCCAGCGAACAAAGGCAGAGACGGCCGCGGTCAGCACAACGCCGCCGGGCTGCTCACAGCTCACCCCACAGCGTGGCACCGAGGGGGTGGCCGCCCCCCGCTATGGGGGTCTTTTCACCCCACCTCCCGCACCAGCACCCGACCTCACGAACATATCCCGCATTAAACCTCAGCTGGATTTGCTCCACGGTCTCCGAGGGAGCCGCATCCAAAACAGATTTGTTTACTGCGTGTCCCGAGATCGGTGTGCCGCTCCCTGCCCCTCTCCCTACCTCAGTTCCTCCCCCCAGACAGCTAACGATCTCAGCTCCCGCGTTAACAGCCTATAGATCGGCACTTGGAAACATCCATACCGACAACGGGGCTGCTGGGGTCAAGCCAGGGCAGCGCAGGCTGCATCCCCGTCCCCACCAGCGGCTTCCACCCCCCCAGCTCGGCTCTGGCAACGCCGTCCCACATCGCAACAGGCTTCTGAGCCCCGTGCTCAAGTTGCAGAGCTGAGAAAGCCCCGGGATGCCCAGAATGCGTCCCCTGGGAGTGCTGAGCACTACAGGAGTGTAGAACGGGACGGTTGGGAAACCCTGGCCCACCCCCGACTGCAGGAAGCAGAGCTGAAGGGGGATTTCAAGCCGCTCTGTGACTCAGCAGCCGCTTCGCCCCGTCCCAGCGAGCCCAGAGGTGCGGCTGGAGCCGCTCCAAGGATCGGCGTTTCCGAGAAGGGCCGCATGAGCGCAGCGTTCGGGACTTCGACGGGGTGCGCAATCAGAGCCCGGCCCGGGCACCGCGCCGCGGGGCTCAGCGAACCGGGCCGGGGCAGCGCACTCGGGCCGAGCCATGCCAGGACCGGGACAGCCCTGGGGCCGGAGCCCGCAGCTCGGGCGGGGCGAACCAGTGCCCCAGGCTGGGCAAATAGAGCTCCGGAGGCGCCGCATCCTGTTAACTCCTTCAACCACCCGGCCTGGTGCCGGGACAGGACACGGGATAGCCCCAGGACCCCACCCGCAGTGGTGGCGGCTCCGGACGCCCCGGTCCCGCATCCCACCCGCCTGAACCCCCACCGGCTGCATCCCGAACGCTGCTCCCGGTTCGAGGGGGAAGAAGGTGGGGGCCACGGCGCTGCCAGCCCCCACAGCCCGGGTCCACTCCCGATTACCGAACCCCACCCGCGGGGCTCCCTGCCTACCGAAGCTCTATCCGCACGACGATGCCGGCACCGCACGGCCCGGAGTTTCCCAACGGCCCTCGGAGCGGAGCGGTCCGAGCTCGGCGCCCACCCCGGTGCCGCCGCGCCCCGTCCCTCCCTCGGACAATAGCAAAACCAAGGCCCAGCCATCCCATCCCTGTGCCGTGTCGTTCCGATCCGTGCCGGGCTGAGCCGTACCGGCGCGCCGCCCGACCCCCTCGTACCTGCGCGCCCGGGTCCCGCGCCCGACCCATGGCCGTGCCGCCCGGTGCCGAGCCGAGCCGAGCCGAGCCGGAGCGAAACCGCACCCCCTCCACTACCGCCGGGCGCGAATGATGTCATCGCCCCGCCCGGGCCAATGGAGCCGCGCAACGTCACGGGGCTGCCCCACTCCCTCCATTCAAACCCGAGTGGGGCGGGGGGGGGGGGAGGCGGTAAGGCTTGTCCTGGATGCGGCCTTTTTGGGGGTCCCTATTGGGATACCCCAACCTCGGAGAGAGATCCTCTGTGCGGAGTGCGGGGATCCACGCGTGTGACTCTTCCCCCCGTGGGGCAGCCAGGAGCTCGGTTCTCCCTTCTCCAGGCCCAGCAGTGGGCGGGGGCTGCCCGCACCCCCAGCGTAGGAACCGGGGCTGGAGGCTGTAATTAATTAAGGGAATTAAAGCCGAACTAAGCAGCCAGCAGTCAATGGGCTCAGCCCTGGGGGGGCACCGTTGACTACGCTCCGCTCGCAGCCGTGTCACCCCCGCTCGCCCTCTGCTGTCCCCAGCCTGTCCCCATCCAGCCCCGCAGCCGCAGCCCCTCGGCAGCCCCACGCGATGGGTGCGGGGCAGCGGCACCGCGCTGAGGGTTCAGGGCTGCGCAGCCTCCGCCGGAGATTAAGGCGAGACCTTTGTGGGAGAAAAGGGGCGGGAGAGACAAGATTATCCCGAATCTGCCTAATGCGGCGTTTCTTGCATATTCCAAAGCGTCTGGCGCCTCTGTGCATGCAGCCAGACCGGGGAATAAAGGGGTGGTGAGAGGGAGATACGGCTCCAGATGCTGCGGCCGTACGTGCTCGGGAGCTCATTGCTGCAGTAAGTAAGTGCCAGGGCACAGAGGTTTCTGGTGTCACCAACGAGAGGAGAACCCCACTTGTAGGGCGGCTCCACTCCCCAAAATGCAGCTGCACGGGTTCAGCAGCACCAACCCAAAGGGATGCATCAGCGCTGGGCACTTCATCCCAATGCTGCCCACCCGTGGGAATGGGATGAGCCAGAACCATAAACCCGTTGCTCACTGCAGGGCTGGGCAACGCGCAATGCTGTGGGGTTGGCATGCCAGAGGGGGGGGGGGGCTGAGCACTGAGACCAAAACAACTGCACTGGTGTGGGTGTTCAGCACTGCTGCTGGTTCCTACAGGCTCCTCCTGGGCTACGCTGCTCCCTCTGTTCACATCACTGCCATTTTCATAGCCGGTTCGGTCAGAAAATTTGATTTTCCCTGCTTTGCATTGGGGAAACTGAGGCAGAACACAAAGCACCGTGCCTGCGCTTTTTCAGGTTGGAGTGGCTGCGGAAGGGGAGGCTCCATCCTGGGGCTCTGCCCACATGCACCAAGCCCCCCCCACGGCTCATTATCAGGTAAATCAGTGCTACCAGGCCAGCTCATGTCAGATGAAGGCCTTGCATTGCCAGCAATGCGTGCCTCACCTGATGCTGTCATGGGAGCACAGTGCTGGGTGAGACAGCACAGTCAGAAGGAATTAAGCTCAGCCGGCTGCCAGCGAGACAGCACTGCTGGGGACAGCACCTGAGGGCTGGTGGGGCTGTGGCTGGGCAGAGCGGGCGCCCAGTGAACCCGAAACACTGCTATCAGAGCTGCCTCCACTCCTGTCCTCCTCCTGCAGAGTCCCCGGGGCAGGATCCTGCCCTGGGGAGATAGCAGGAGGGTTGGGGATGCTCAGAGGCTCAGGAGTGGGTAGCTGGATGGCTCTGACCCTCCCTGAACCCATCGCTGGCTCCTTTTAGTGCTTCTCAGCAGCTTTTGAAAGCAGTGTGAAAAAAAGATTGTAAAGCACTTTTAAAAGCCAAGGAAAATGTGCCTGGGTTCCCAGCAGCCAGTCCCCTCCTCCCCAGCAAGCCCAGCCAGCACATCAGTGCCTGCCAGCTCTGCTGATGGTGCTGCCTTGGCCATGCAGGAGATGCTTCTGAGAGCACCGCCTGGTTTCTTCTGAGCCCGAGTGCTGCAGTGAGGTGTGGGAAGCACCAGGCAGGCAGCCCGAGAGCCATCCCAAATCCTCCAGCCCCACAGCCTGTGTGCATGCTGACCATGGCCAGAAACTTCCCTAATCACCCCCTTCAGCCCCACAGGCATCAGCTTGTGCCCAGAACTAAAGGTTCTCACCCCTTCCTTGTGTCATCCACCCAGTTAACCAGCCAATCCATGCACTCCAGCAGGATTGTGCTGCATGCTCACCACCAGCACCTCAGCACCCGCAGGAGATGCAGGTCAGAGCCTGGCACAGGCAGGGTTTCTCCACCATTCACAGCAAGCACACTTCCCTCCTAACCAGCAACCCAAAACCCACCCCAGCCACCCTAGTGCCCCCGGCACCACCATAGGTGACAGATCCCATACAGTGTGACAAGCATCCAGAGCTGCAGGCAGGATGCACAGACCTGGATCTGCCCCCTGCACAGCAGAGATTTGGGGTTTCAGCTTCTCCCCTCTGTCCCCCTTGGCTGCTCCAGGCCTGATAAGCACAGTGCTGGCCCTTGGCAGACTGCAGAACCCAGCCAAGCGCACACTGGGGAACACGTCAAGGTCAGCACAGAGCAGCTGGCTGTGTTGTGTCTGTGCCACAGGGAAACTGAGGCAGCACAGGCAAGATGTGCCACTAACACCACTGGCACTGAGACCATCTCCAGCCCAAGGATGTGCATCCTCCGTGTCCCTGCAATGGGGGCACGCTCTGGATGCTGGCTGCATCACAGCTGCTCCCAGGGAGCCCTTGCATGGGCTGCTCAGATTTGCTTGGCTTCTCAGCACAACCCTGCAGGGAGCAAGAATTCCCTTGCCTGAGGCTGGGGCTGGAGCCAGGCAACAAAAAAGGAGCAGGATTTGTCCAGCCCACCCCTGCCAACATCCGCACTCAAGTGAGGAGATGCCTCCCTCCTCAGCGCCCATGGAACAGACAACACCGCTGCCCCTGTGCCAACTCCAAAGTAGGTTGGATGAGTCACCTGCCAGCAATGCCCCCTGCTCTCTGCTGGCTGCGGGGACGTGGTTACAAGATGAAGCAGGGACAACACTCCCACAGGTGGCAGCGGCTGGGGAGCAGCATCCCCTATTCCTCCCCAGCTCAGAGGAAAGGTGGAGAGGGCACCACATCATGCACCCAGCTCCAACCGGTCCCCAAAAGCAGCGCTTGCACAAACACTCCCGACGTCTGCAACCAGCCCCATGGTCCTAAGGAGAAAGCAGCCCCAACCAGGGAGCTGTGTGCTGAGCTGTGCCATAGGGATGACTCTCAGTGCAGCAGGTTGGACAGACACATCTTACTGGCTCCTTCTCCAGCACAGCACGGTGACAGACAGGTGAGACAGGGTCATCCTCAGGCTGTTTATTGGCATCTCTTGGTGCAGCCCCACCAGCTGGTGCCTGGCTCACCAATAGGCAATAGAAGAGGGGAGAGGTTTGCTATGCAGAGAGCACCAAAACCACCCCCTCTCCAGCCCCAGAGCACCCCGGGCGTCACCACCGTGTGCCTCTTAAGCTCCCAGGCCTCTGCACAAAACAGAATTAAAATAAAAACACCTCCACGCTGCCAGAGAGGCAGAGGAGCAGCCACAGTCACTGCGTCACCCCGCCGAGTCCTCTCCAGGGTGCAAATCATAGGAGACATCAGCACCACTTGCACCCCTGGGGGCTGCGCTGGGCCAGGGGCAAACAAAGAGGGCAATTCATCGTCCACATGGCTGCTGGCCCCATTTCTCAGAGGGTCCAGGCTGGGGGCTTCACCCCCAGAAGGTTACACAAACAGAGCCCCTCTCCCCACACAGTCTCCTCTGCATCACTGCCCATTCCCACATCCTTGTGGGACCCATAAGTTGGGCTGTGGCACAGCCAGGGCCCCTCTGCAGCTTCCAGCCAAAGGGTCCTTAACACAGAAAGCTTTGGCCAAAAAGAGGAGCTGGGTTTTGCCCCCAGCCCCAGCACTGTCACTTGGCATCCTGCTCCAAGTCCTGCAAAGGAAAGGAAAAAGCCTGAACCTGAGCAGCCCCTCCTCAGGCTCTCAGCATCTCCATCCTCTTCTCCTCCTTGATGCTTGTTTCCTTGATTTCTTGCATTCTTTTTTTTTCTTTTTTTTTTTTTCCTTTTTTTTTTTTTTTTTTTCTTTTCTTTTTTTTTTTTGCTCCTTTGTTTCATGTGGTTTTCTTCTGCTCTTCCCTTTAAGTATCAAACAAAAGAGGAAAACCCAGCGATGGGGGCTCTGGAGCCGGGGGCCAGGCTGCTGGGTGGGCGGTACAGGGTGCCAGGTTGGCTGGGGGGGTTGCCGGGGGTCTGTGGGGTGGGAGTCCTGCTGGCTTTGGGCCGGAAGAGGCTGCCCTGCTGTGTGGAGGTGCTGTTGGAGAGGGGTGTGTGGTCGGGCTCCCCGGAGTCGCTCTCGGTGTAGCTGTACGCCTGCGCCCGTGAGATGCCCTTCTGCTGCCTCCGCCACGAGTTGTAGTAGGTGGGGTCACTGATGTAGTGGTTGACAAAGGAGTGGGCTTTCTGGTGACCAGGGTCCACCTCGTACTCGCTGTCGCTGCCCTAAGGGACAGTGCAAAGAGTGAACGTGGGGCAGAGCCGCCCGTCGCCACCGAATCACAGAGTAACGATCATCAAAGATGGGGAGAGCTTTCCCAAAAGATGGAGGGGGTGAGAACGGCTGCAGCACAGCAGGGGCGGTTCTGCTTTCTGCTCAAGCGAAATAAAACCTCGCACAAAAGGGCTGCGTGGCCCTGGGGCCCCGTTGTCCCCGGGGTGTGAGGACGGGGGTGCTGGCGGGCAGCCGCCTGCCTCCTGCTCGCGGTAATTGGATTCAGCTTCTCCTCGGCGCGCACAAAGGGCCCATTGAGGGGCGGCGGGGAAGCAGCACCGCGCCAGCTTTCGGCTCTCGCCGCTCTTCACAGCTCCTCAAAGACACTCGATCTCCGCAGAAGGGAGTGGGGCTGGGATCCGCGAAAGGAATCGGTGTGGGTGGAGAAAAGGGGGCTCGGGGCTGACCCTGCCTGGGGACAGGGCTGTGCCGCAGGGA